CGGAATCCCTAGGGAATCCTTAGGGAATCTTTCGGGCACCCTTAGCGAATCCCGTAGGGAATCTTTCGGGTATCCTAGGACATCCTGTGAGAACCCATAAGGATCCTTCAGGAATCCTGAGGAATCCTTTCTGGGAGTCCTGAGGAATCCCTAGGGAATGCTAAAACATCCCCAGGAAGCGTTAGGAGATCTTAGGAAATCCGGAACAATCCCCACTGAATCCGACGGAATCCATGGGCAATTCTTAGGACCCCAGAAGGAATCCATTGGAATCCATTGGAATCCGTAGGGAATCCTTAGGAATCCGTCAGGAATCTTTAAGAATCCACAAGGAATCCTTAGGAATCCCTAGGGAACCCTTTGCAAGCCTATAAGGAATCCTTAGGAATCCAAAGGGAAATCTGTAGGAACCCCGAATAGGGAATCCTCAGGAATCCTTCGGAAACCTTCAAGATTCCCTATAGGGAATCCGCAGGAATCCCTAGGGAATCCTTCAGCAAACCTTCAGGAATACTTCGGGATCCCGAGTGAATCCCGAAGGAATCCCTCGGAATCCTTAAGGAATACAACCCAATCTTTTAACCTCTGACGTTTCAGCGGAGTTTGGAATGTCTATTGTTGGGCTCGGCCAAGGATTCGGCGCGCGCCACATATATCAGTATCTATTGTTTTCGAACCAGTTTCTATTTGTTTTGATGAGCTTCTATGTTCAACCCAAGAAAATTGCAATGCGTTTCTATTTCTAAATAAGGATCGTGTATATTAGTGTCTATTTTTTTCCAGAGAGAGAGAGAGAGAGAGAGAGAGAGAGAGAGAAAGAGAGAGAGAGAGAGAGCTGATTCCGTATCTATTTTTGGTAGCAGTATTTATTTTGCACGTGTCTATTTTCATTTGGTCACGCGAATTGCATATCAAAACAACATAAAACATAGACTCGCGTTTCGCGCGCTCCGACTCAGATGCGACGCGGTTAAGGCATAGCAGACGCGCACCAAAGATAGACACTACCAGTCTACTTTTTGTCTACTAGGGAGGCGCCACATTTCACAGCCGCAGGCGCCGCATTTCACAGCCGGGCGCGCCACGTTTAACAGCCGCAGGCGCCGTGCATTTCACAGCCACAGGCGCCGCAATTCACAGCCAGGGGCGCCACATTTCACAGCCGCAGGCGCCACATTGCACAGCCACAGGTGCCGCTTATCACAGCCACAGGCACCGCGTATCACAGCCGCAAGCGCCAGATTTCACAGCAGAGCGCGCCACATTTCACAGCCGCGTGCGCCGCCCTGTCACAGCCGCAGGCGCCGCGCGCATCGCGCAGCCACAGGCGCCACATTGCACAGCCACGGGCCCCGCGTGTCACAGCCACAGGCGCCGCATTTTCACAGCCACAGGCGCCGCATTTCACAGCCACAGGCGCCACATGTCACAGCCACAGGCACCACATTTCACAGCCGCAGGCACCACAATTCACAGCCGAGCGCGCCGCATTTCACAGCCGCAGGCGCTGCGCATTCCACGGCCACAGGCGCCGCATTTCACAGCCGCATGCTCCGCATTTCACGACATTGTATCAGCTCATCAGAAACCTCTCACGATGTATTTGCATGCCTCCACAATGCCACGCTCCCCTGACGCCGCTCAGAATCCTCTCGCATGCCATCGAGAGCCCATCGAGGGCCCCTCGTAAGTTTGTCGTGGACCGCCCAGAGGCCTCACAGGCCTCCCGTATATCTTGCAACTGAGCGCTTCTCAGAAATCCTTCACAAGCTTCTCCCGCCCAGCGCAGTCGGTGGAGCGCCGGCCATGTCGGCTGGGGGCCGCAGGTTCGAGCCCCAAGGTGGGCGCGTGCGCATTTGCTGGTTTCGAACATGGCGCGATGTCCAAAGGGCCAAAGGGCGGGCGCTTTCCAGGAGGTTTACCCAAGCCTCTCAGAAGCATCTCGAAAGCCCCATTCGCTCCTCGCGGGCCTACCATGAGTCAGCTCCGCAGTTGCCTTTCGGAGGCGCCGTTCCATCTGCGCATCAGAAACCCTTCGCAGGCCCCGCTTGCGCCTCTCACTTGCAGCATTCCCTCGGAAGCCTCTCGTGGACTTCGCGGGGGCCAATTTCATGCATTGCATGCGTTTCTCAGAATTCAATCATAGGCTTCTCCCGTCTAGCTCAATCAGCAAAGCGCTGGGCCTCTAGGCCGGCGGTCGCGGGGGTTCGAGCCCCGCGGTGGCCGCATCTGCTGTGTTTGGTTTCTGCGCTCCATGCGCGAGTGCGTAGGCATGCCGCGTGCGCAGCCATATTCCGCACGCGAGCAGAGTACGTAAGTGAGCATAATGCGCGCGTGCATGGGCAAGCCTCACATTGCGCAACCGCAAAGCATAACCCGCGCGCACGCATGGCACGCGCGAACAGGCGCGGGCGCCGCATGGCGCAGCCGCAGGCGACGCACCCCGCGGCCGCAAGCGTCACACTGCACAGCCGCTGGCACCACACTGCACCGCTGCCGGCGCTAGAGTGCACAGCCGCGGGCGCCGCGCCGCACAGGCGCGGGCGCCGCGCAGCGCAGCCACGGGCGCCAAATGTCACAGCAACAGGCGCCACATTTCACAGCCACAGGCGCGACATCTCACAAACGCAACAGGTGCCGCATTTCACACCCGCAGGCGCCACATCTCACAGCCACATGCGCCGCATTTCAAAGCCACAGGCGCCACATTTCACAGCAGCAAGCGCCACATTTCACAGCCGCAAGCGCCGCATTTCACAGCCGCAGGCGCCGGGCATTTCACAGCCAAAGGCGCTTCAACTCACAGCCAGGGGCGCCGCATTTCACAGCCACGGGCGCCGCATTTCACAGCCGCAGGTGCCACATTTCACAGCCACAGGCGCCACATTTCACAGCCGCAGGCGCCGCGCTTCACAGCCGAGCGCGCCGCACTTCGCAGCCGCAGGCGCCGCGCATTTTACAGCCGCAGGCGCCACATTGAACAGCCACAGGCGCCACGCTGCACAACCATGGGCCCCGCGCGTTACAGCCGCAGGCGCCGCATTTCACAGCCACGGGCGCCACATTTCACAGCCACAGGCGCCGCATTTCACAGCCGCAGGCGCCGCATTTCGCAGCCACACGCGCCACGTTGCACAGCCGCAGGCGCCATAATTCACAGCCGAGCGCGCCGCATTTCACAGCCGCAGGCGCCGCGCATTTCACAGCCACAGGCGCCGCATTTCACAGCCGCATACGCCGCATTTCACGACATCTTATCAGCTCATCAGAGGCCCCCCACGATGTTTTTGCATGCCCCCCAGAAGCCAGCCTTCTGATGTGCCTCGTCAAACATATTTTTCCACAGTGGTCCGCTACCCTGACGCCTCTCAGAATCCTCTCACATGCCCTCAAGAGCCCATCGGAGGCCCCTCGTAAATCTCTCGTGGGCCGCCCGGCGGCTCTATAAGCCTCCCATATACCTTGCATGCTGGGCGCTTCTCAGAAATCCCTCGTGAGCTTCTCCCGTCCAGCGCAGTGGGTGGAGCGCCAGCCATGTGAGCTGGGGGCCGCGGGTTCGAGCCCCAAAGAGGCGCGCGCGTATTTTGCTGATTTCGAACATGGCGCGATGTCAAACGGGAAAACGCTTTGAAGCCTCTCAGAAGAGTCTCAGAAGCTTCATTCGCTCCTCGCAGGCCGACCATGAGTCAGCTCCGCATTTGCCCTTCGGGAGCGCCGTTCCATTTGCGCATCAGAAACCCTCCGCAACCTGCGCTTGCGCCTTTCACTTGCAGAATTCCCTCGGAAGCCCTTCGTGGACCTCGCCGGAATCAATTTCATGCATTGCATGCGCTTCTCAGGAATCAAGCATAGGCTTCTCCCGTCTAGCTCAATCAGCCAAGCGCCGGCCCTCCAGGCTGGCGGTTGCGGGTTCGAGCCCCGTGCCGCGTCTGATGCGTTTGGTCTCTGCGCTCCGTGCGCGAGTGCGTGGGCACGGTGCGCGCGCGACCACAGTGCGCACGTACACAAGCATTGTACGTGCGCAAGCACAATGCGCACGTACACGGGCAAGCCTCACGTTGCGGAACCGCCAGGCATAACACGCGCGCAAGCATGGTACGTGCGAACAGGCGCAGGCGCCACGTGGCGCAGCCGCAGGCGCCGCACTCCACAGCCGCAGGCGTCACATTGAACAGCCGCTGGCACCGCATTGCACTGCTGCTGGCGCTAAAGTGCACAGCCGCTGGCGCCGCGCCGCACAGTCGCGGGCGCGCATTGCACAGCCATGGGCGCCACAGCTCACAGCCACAAGCGCCACACGTCACAGCCGCAGGCGCCGCATTTCACAGCCACGGGCGCCACATTTCACAGCAACAGGCGCCACACTTCACAGCCACAGGCGCCGCATTTCACAGCCACAGGCGCCACACTTCACAGCCACAGGCGCCACATTTCACAGCCGCAGGCGCCACGCATGACAGCCGAGCGCGCCGCATTTCACAGCCGCAGGCGCCGCGCATTTCACAGCCGCAGGCGCCGCATTTGACAGCCACGGGCGCCGCGCGCCACAGCCATGAGCGCCGCATTTTCACAGCCACAGGCGCCGCATGTAACAGCCACAAGCGCCACATGTCACAGCCGCGGGCGCCACATGTCACAGCCGCATGCGCCGCATTGCGCGACGTCTTTCCGGCCCATCAGAGGCCTCTCGCGATCTACTTGCAAGCCCCCCAGAGCCCAACTTCCCATTGGCTCTCAAAATATATGTTCCACAATGCTACGTACTGCGCTCCCCTGACGCCTCTCAGAATCCCCTCGCATGCCCGCAGGGGCCCATCGGAAGCCCCTCGCGCATCTCTCGCGGGCCACCCAGCGGCTCTATAGGCCCCCCATGCACCTTGCAACTGGACGCGTCTCAGAAATCCCTCGCAAGCTTCTCCCGCCCAGCGCAGTCGGTGGAGCGCCAGCCATGTAAGCTGGGGGCCGCGGGTTCGAGCCCCAAGGTAGGCGCATGCGTGTTTTGCTGCTTTCGAACATGGCGCGATGTCCAACGGGCGGACGCTTTCCAAAAGATTTGCCCAAGCCTCTCAGAAGCGTCTCGGAAGATTCATTCGCTCCGCGCGGGCCTACCACGAGTCAGCTCCGCATTTGCCTTTTTCGGAGGCGCCGTTCCATCTGCGTATCAGAAACCCTTTCGCAAGCCCCGCTTGCGCCTCTCACTTGCAGTATTCCCTCAGAAGCCTCTCGTGGACCTCGCGGAAGTCAATTGTATGCATTGCATGCGCTTCTCAAAATCATATCGCTGCATGCTTCTCAAAATTATATTGTCTAGCTCAGTTAGCAAAGCGTTGGACCTCTACGCTGGCGGTCGCGGGTTCGAGCCCCGTGGTGGCCGCATCTGCTGTGTTTGGCTTCTGCGTTCCATGCGCGTGTGCGTGGGCATGTGTTGTACGTTGCCATATCACACACGCAAGCATAGTACGTACGTTAGCATAATGCGCACGTACATGGGCAAGCCTCACATTGCAGAACCGCCAAGCATAACGCGCGCGAAAGCATGTTTCGTGCGAAAATGCGCAGGCGCCACATTGCGCAGCCGCAGGCACCGCACTGCACAGCCGCAAGCGTCACATTGCACAGCCGCTGGCACCACATGGCACTGCTGCTGGCGCCACGGTGCACAATCGCTGGCGCCGCGCTGCACAGTCGCGGGCGCCACAGTCCCCACTGCGCCCGCCGCTGTCCCACTATGCTATCCCACTGTCCCCACTGTCCCCACCACTGTCCCACTGTCCCCACTGTCCCCACCACTCTCCCCACTGTACCACTGTCCCATCACCGTCCTCACCACTGCCTTCACCACTGTCCCCACCACTACCGTCCCTACCACTGTCCGACTGTCCCCACCACTGTCCCGCTGCCCCCACTGTCCCCACCACCACCGTCCCCACCACTGTCCCACTGTCCCCACCACTGCCCCACTGTCCCCACACCACTGTCCCCACCACCACCGTCCCCACCACCGTCCCAGTGTCCCCACCACTGTCCCACTGCCCCGAGGAGCGGGAATCGTTTGCAGGCGGCGAGGGGGGGGTGGGGTTCGAACCGGCAGTGACCCCCCCCCTCTTCATGATGGACTAGGGGGGGGGGAGAGGGGGGGGTTCGAACCGGCAGTGACCCCCCCCCGGTTTTCTGGGGGGGGGAGAAGGGGTTGGGAACCCCCAGTGACCCCCCCCCCCTGTTTTCCGCCAGCAGCGGTAGAGCACGCTCGACAACTCCACGCCACCCGACGCCCCTCGAAATGTGATGATACTGCTGCAGCTGATGATGATACCCGACGTCCGCAGGCTGTGGTGGCACCAGACACCAGCCCCAGAAAAGAACAGGCTGGTGGTGGCACGGAACCTACGCACAGTACTGGCACAGCAACTGTGCAATGGCCACGAGGCGCAGGGCTGTGTCAGCACAAGACGGGTGTCCGAGCGCGGCCGAAAACAAGCTCCACCGACAGCCATACACACAGCGCGATACCTATAAATGAGAGAGATTCGAAAAATTACGTATTTTACATTCTCCGTGCTTCGCGACTGTGTTGACCTCAGCCGTCTACCGTTGGAACCCACAACGCGGTACCGCCAAGATACTTGCGTCTCTCCAGAAAGCCAGTACAGTGCTGGCAGAAGCTGGTGAAGCTGATGATGATGAGGAGGAAGAAGAAGATGAAGAAGATGGAGAAGATGAAGAAGAAGAAGAGGGTGTTGATGCACGATGGCGCTAGTAGTGATGATGATTGCCGCGCTAGGGGAATTTCCCAGCACCTCTGCGGCGTTTGAATGCTGGGTGTGAGACAAACCTGTTGGAGGAAAATCTACTGGAGACGCGAGGGGTGGGGGAAGAAAATAAAAGAAGACGGAAGGCAACGCGGGCAAGGCCCCGCTTAGTCGTACAGGAGTACTCGGCAATCAGTGCTCGAGTCGCAGGGCCGTGTTAGCACAGGACGTGTCCGAGTGCGGCCGAACTGCCGAGGCCAGATCGGCCACTGGCAGGTTGCGCCGCGACGTGCATGCCACTCCTCGCGCCACGACCACGCTCGTGCTGCTCCCCTCCCCGTTCCTCCTCCCCCATTTCTCTGGGCACCTGCTGGCAGAGCCATCCCCTCCTTCTCCTCGAATGCGGGTGGCTTCTGCACAGCGGCAACATGTTCTCCCTTGGGGCATGCAGAAAAACATCAGCTATGCACTACTGGCTGTCTTGTGCGCCTGGACATATGACCGAGCTCTGAATCTGAACCCGGCCCGTGGTGGCGAGGCCGGCGCAGCTGGCGGGGCCTCTTTGATCTCAGAGAAATTCTGAGATGAGGACTTGCCTTTCAGCTTCCGGCGCAAAGCCAACACCGCTGCCCCGATCGCACCTCTCAAGGTCTCGGACCCGCCCAGGCCTGCCCCAAGTCAACTTGCACGAGCACTGTCAGGGCCGCGCGAAGCAACCGGCTTCGCGGGCGACCCCACCACGAACTCCGGGCCGCCCAACTCTGCGCCGACAGAGCCATGCGAAGCGATTGACTCCGCGGACGCCCCCACCACGCGCTGCAGGCCGTTCAGGTTCTCGGGATGTGGAGTGCGGGCCCTCACGATGCCAACCTTGCGAGAGTACATCGGCGCGTGCAAGATGACGCCGAATGTCGGTGGCACGTAGCGTTGAAAATTAGCTCCGCATGGTGGCGCCACGCCACCCACCAATATCGGGTCTTGGCGCCAAAATTCATCGAACGCTGGCACCGCCATCGGAGAGCAAAGCCTGCGGGGGAGATTGCTGGAGCGGAGCGCGGGCGGGGTGGCGAGAAAAGCCAAACAGTTAACTGACGAATTAGGCTTGCGCCACAACTGCTTGAGCCAAAATGGCTGCGGAGGGCCCTCTTGGGCCGTTTGGCCGAATGCAGACGATCTTTGGGGCCTCTTGGGGCGCCTGGCGCCCTTCTGACCCGAAAAGGCGAGAAACGGAAAAATCTGCAAAAAAACCTTTGGGAAATCCATGTGCTTGGCCTCCTCAGGCCCTCTCGGGGGCCCTCTGGAGGGCCTCTGGAGCCGTCTCGGAGCTTTCTTGAACCGTCTGGAGAGGTTCTCTTGGGGCCGTCTTGGGGCCCTCTGGGGCCGTTTTGGGGCCCTCTTGGGCCGTCTTGGGGCCCTCTGGCCGCTTCACTTCAAAAAACTAAAGAAACAGGCCATCGAAGCCGCCCGGGAGCCGCTTCACTCGAAAAATCATACGGGAAGCTGGCCATTACATCCTTTCCCTGCGCGCCTCGCCCCTCCCCTGGACCCCTCCCGTAAAGGGCTTCGCATCACCAAAACGTCATCACTCGTACCTCGCTCTACCCTTCGCTCTGGGGAGCCTTGGCGTTAAGAGCATGTTGCGTCACCGCTCTCTGTTGGGAGCCCTGGTGTTCAGGAGCCTTGCTTTTCAGAGCTCTTTACGTCACCGCACTCTGGGGAGCCTTGGTGTTCTGACCTTCTTGCGACACCGCTCGCTGTGGGGAGCCATGGTGTTACTTGGCGTCTCTGGGGATTCTAGAGGCCTCCTAGATGGGGTTGGAATAGATGGGGTCGGAGGATCACGCCGCATCGCCGATACATCGGCGATGCATCGGCGATGCATCGGCGATGCACCAGCGATGCATCGTCGACGTCGGCGGTGCCTCGGCAACGTCGGCGTGAAGCAAATCGGGCTCCGCATCGAGCCGCATCGCCGATGCATCGGCGATGCGGCGCGATCCTCCGACCCCATCTACTCCGACCCCATCCAGGAGGCCTAGAGATTCTTGAAGGTCTTCCGGTGGCCATTTTGGACCGTTTTGGAACTCGTGGGCCGTCTTGGGGCCAGCCCAGGTCCCCACGCCCAAGCGCCCAGCGCCCGGTTGCGGGGCTCGGCGGCGGCGGCGTCGGCAGCGCCATGCACAGCGCCCCCCCGCGGCCCCCATCGCGCCAAGCGGGGGCGGCCCAATGGAACGCGCCCAAGATCCGGGCTTACCTGGGGCGAAAACGAATGTGAGCCAAGATGGGAAACGAGGGTCTTGCTGGAATCGTACTCAGGGTCGAATCTCCGACCCCCTTTCATCACCATTATTGAACCCACTCGGGACCCATCGCGCGGCGAACTTGATATCTCGGGTAAACACGGGGCGGCAAAACGACGGACCTGAATGAGAAGCCAAACATCTCTGGACCTGAAACGCCAAAAGCAAAGCACAACTGAGACATTGCCTCCTCGAAGAAGGGCTCGACATTCTGTGACTGGCTGACAGTGCGCGGCACGAGGCGCTGCTTTCACGAGCGCCCGCGCCTCGAGCCTAAGGATACCATATCCAAACACCCACCTGTCGGCCATCACCGTGGCCCAAGGTGAAACAGGCAAGAGCGAATCGAACACCTCTGGGAGGCTGGGATCCGCGTCCCCGCGCCCGCTGTCCAACCGGCGCCTCGGCTCCGCGCGCAGCCAGCGGGGCGCCCCGCCGTCGTCCCTGGCGACCTGGTCCGTCTCGCTATCCAGCAAAAAAGACCGCGCACTTCAAGGCGCGCTGCCGCGCGAGCCCAACCCCCGAGCGCCATCGCGCGAGCTCCAGGACACGGCCGACCTCGGCGACGGCCCCGGGGTCGAAGAACGCCCCTGCGATGCCGTAGCCGAACACGCTGGCGCTAGACGAGAAGACGACTGGCATCCAGGGCCTCTCCCAGCTAGTCTCCAAAATAACCGCGACGCCCAGGTATCACTCGAGCTCCTCTCCCACGGTCGGCCACAGCACAGGGTAGGCGCGGCAACTTTGCGCCACGAGTGCATAAACAGCGCGAAAGACTGACTAAACTTCGTGGGGGGCCAGGGCCATGAAAGTCCAGCGGCCCGGCGCCATCTCCTGCTGCCAACCTGCGACGTTGCGTCGCCTCAAGGGGCATCGGAGGCCTTTCCGCGCGGCGGCGAACCTCTCGTCAGCGGAACGAGTCGCGAGCCTCTTCCCGTCGACAGAGCAGCCAAGGACCCGGCGGCCCTCGGGCAGCAGGCCCACCTCGTGAAACTTCAGCAGATCACGCTCGAAGTCCTGCCGCGCCTCGCACAGCGCGGACTGAGCGCGTCCTCCGGCGAGGCCAACGACGCCAGCATTGCCCGCGCACACGCAGCGGCCAAGGGCGCCCCCCGGGGCCCGGGCGCCCAGCGCCAGCGGAGGCCCGCGGCCGCACAGCCGCACCGCAGGCTACGGCGCAGCGAAGGCTGGCGGTCGAGCCGAGTCTGGCAAGCGGCCTTCGCGAAGAAGAGCGACCACGAGAAGCCCATCGGGAGGCTCTGGCCCATGAGCCACCCTGCTCGCCCTCTGCCACGGGGCGGCCTTCAGCCAGCGTCTCCCCAGTCAAGAACCCGCAGGCGGCGGCCAGCAGGGGCGGCGCCTGATCTCGCCCTCCAGCTTCACTCTGCGAAAACAATCGGCGACTTCGCCAACGCCCAGCGCCGCGCACAGCTGCAAGCACTCGCCCCCCCCATGACTGGCACCTCAACGCGGCCGAGCCCCTCGCCCGACAGCAGATCAACGCCCGGCGGAGGGCGGATAAAGGCGCCGCCCCGCCTGAAGCGCACGATGAGGCAAAGGCGCCCCCCATCCTTCTTCTCCGCGAAAAAAAAAACAAGCACGCCCAGCGGGCGACGGGCCAACGCGACATGCCCGATTTTGAGCGCGCGCGCCGACCGAACTTCGCAAAGCCCCGCGGTCGCCGGAGCAGCAGCGGGTCGGCATCGCAGCCCGGAAGTCCACGAAGCTCTCGAATTAGCGCTGCGTCCTAAGGCGGCAGCAGCATCTTAGCGGCGAACTCCCCGAGGCCAAGCCTCGCCTGCGCAGGTGGCATTGTCGCCAAGGTCGGGGCGTCGAAGACGCCGTCTAGCAAGCTGGCCCGCGAGCACTCGTAGGGGCCCGCGCTGGTGGGGCCAACCAGCACATAGCCCGCCTTGCCCCTCAGGAGACCAGCGAGGGCCTCCCCCTCCGCGACGGCGCTGTCCACGAAGATCCAGCGGCGAGCCGCCGAACAGACGCGCTGCTGCACACCCGCCCGAACTGCGGCCATTTTACGCTGGCTGACGTCGCCCTGGGGCGACCGCCCGGCACGACGTGCGCAGGCAGCATTGCCGTCGCGCGGCCAGCGGCGGCGCTGACTCGAGCTGAGCCCGTCACACCACTCATCCAGCAGCGCGACCAGGGGAGCGCCACAGGAAGGAACAACGAGCCCTGCAGCCCCTGGGCGCCCTGTGATCTGAAGGAGGCGGTCGGGCGCCCGCCTCCCTCGGCCTGGCGCGCAATGCGGCTGGCGGGCGAACCCCGCGCCCCCGCCCGCCTCGCCGGCGCCCGCCGCGGCGCCGCCATCTCCAGCGTCGCCACCTCCGTCAACGCCTGGGGGGCCCCCGACGGCAATTAGGCCGCCCGCGCTGACAGCAGCAGCAGCAGCAGCAGCAGCAGCAGCAGCAGCAGCAGCAGCAGCAGCAGCCCGCGTCGCGACGCCAGGCGTCACTCCTGGCGCCTTCGCGCGGGCCCTCGGCGCCTCGAGCTCGTGTTCCTCCTTCAAGAGGCGTCGCGTAGCTCCTGAGCGCCTCTGGCACCAGGTCGAGCGGGTTCGAGGTGACCGCCAGGTATTTCGCCGCGCTCCAGTTGGCCCGGCCGGCCCCGCCTCCGCGCACCGCAGCAGCCTCCTCGCGATCACCTCCAGCGACGCGAGCGTAGGCGCCCGCCGGATACAGACATTCGCCGAGGTGCCCGCCAGATACAGCCATTCGACGAGGGTCTGCAACTCATGGTAAGCCCTGTCACAGCGCGAGTTCCCCGTCTCCTTGCAACACTCCTGGGGCCAGACCATTGGCGCGCCTCCATGCCGAAACATCTTGCGACACACCTCCAGGCACGCCTTGGGATCTCTGAGACTCGAGTCCGCGAAGACCTCCTGCGTACTCTCTTGCACCACCTTGCGCCGCTCCTTGAACCTGGAACCCGTCTCGTCGACGTCGATCCAGCACGTCCCGAGGTCCTCCTGGCCCTCTGCCTCGCCTGCCGCGGCTGGCGCCGCGCCGAAAGCCTCGAGCGGCGGCGTCTCGGTGCCGCCCATCTCGCTCCCGGGAAAGAGGCGATCGCCCAGGCGGGCGCGCGGCGGCCGAAAGCGATCCGCCGCAATCAGCTCATCGTCCCGCCACGGATCAGACGTCTCCTCCGTGACGCACTCGGTGGGCTGCCACACACCAGCAGCGTCGCGATCGGGCCCGAACCGACATCGAAGAATGGCCGCCTGCGAAAGCTCGACCTGGCGGCCGAAGTCGGGGCCGCCCTCCAACGCAGCGAGCACCCAGCAGCCCGGCGGCCTCTCCTCCGGCAGAGGCGGCGGCAGCGGTGGGCCATCGGCCAGCACCGCCGGGGGCCGCCGCGGCGTCGCCCTCCGTGTGGGTCTCGCCCTGCTTGCCGCGTCGCCGGCGCCGAACCCGCGGCACATCCACGGCCGTCGCGGGCGGCACGTCCAGGCGGCGGCCCGCCCAGTCCACGCCAGCGCCTGACCACTAGCCCGTGGCCTCCGCGCCGTACCCCAGCACCACTTTACCTCGGCCACGCTTGATCAGGCTCAGCACTTCGTCACGCTGCAGCTCGCGATTGAATGCGACCACGTTGCGGACCCTGGCTGGGTAGCGCCGCCAACCCGTCCAGACCACCACCGAAGTGAAGTCTGCCAGGACCTCTGAATACAAATCATTCCCAGCCGTGTAGACCATCCACGAGCTCTGATTAGCAGCGCTCGGCCAGCACAGCATTCGCTCGTGCGTCCAGCCGGGATCCTCTCGATAAGGCACCACCACACGCAAGGTGGGGCTCGCGCCCTCCAGCGCCATCATGTCACGTGGATCCGCGCCTCGCCGATCGGCTCGAGGGCGAGCTGTGCAATGGCCGCCAAATGTCACAGC